TACTACACACATCCCATGGGGACAAACTTGATATACCTTGTGGGTGCTTGCTATAGCTCCCCTACCCTAGATCCATTCCCTTTTCTCCTAGTCCAGAAGTTCACGATGACCAAAGCCTAATGCCCTTACTGTAAGCACTCCCCAACCCTTCTCCTGTGTCTGGGGTGTGTCGGGCTAAGAGGCCTAGTTCCTGCGCCTCCCTATGCTGTTGAGGCAATGGGCAGGGCACTACACACTAACAGTGCTGCCTGTCCTGAGTTTCTCTCATCTCTGGTCACCTTGGTCTGGGTCCTTGCAGGACCAGTTAGAATACTGGAGCATCTTCAGGCCAAGGCACAAACCACCCAGCCAGAGGGAAACCTGAGCAGGGGAAGGAAAGTGTGGATGGTGGTAGGGTAGGGCCAGATTTAAAATTTGCGTGGGTGACGGTTTGTGCTCACCCACACCTACTCAACAGGATGGCCCTAAAAATTCACCTTCCAGAGAAGGTGGAAGCTCAGGCCTTAATCTCCCAGGGAGGTGGGAAGTGTGTGCAGATGAATTAGCAGGGGACCCTATAGAGAGCAGCACCTACCTATTGACTGACTTGGGAATAACTAAGGAACTGGGGCTGTCCCTAATTAGGAACTTGCTAAGGTACAGGGTAGTGAACCACCAGGTGTGGCAGCCGTTAGGAAGCCGGTGCTAAAGCCTACCCTGAGTCCAACCCTATGCACAAAGGTGCCACAATCTCACCCTGGCTGAGCTCCAAGCTGAGAGTAGAAGCCAAAGCCTGATGTGTTGTGGAGAGTGCAGGCCTAGGCAGCCCTGGGTCCCTTGCCAAACCCCTGCAGCCTAACTGTACCCAGATCTGCGCCTAGGGCTCCCTGGAGGATGTGACCCAGTGAGGCTTGAGACCAGAAATTGAACAAGTACCCTTTGGAGGTAGGGGAGGTCAAGTGCAAGAGCCTGGGACAACGCCCTGCGCGCGCGCGCTGCGCGCATGCGTCAATACCCCCTTCCCTCCCGCGCGCGCGCCCGCGCCCGCGCGCGCTGTGTGTCCCCACCCCCACCCCAGGGACAGGCCGGAGCTCCCACCTTGGCCTGTATCTGAGCACCTTCCCCGATGCCGCTCTAGCAACACTTGCTGCCGCTCCGCCTGCCGCCCTTCCCAGGGGCTTCTCATTCCTTCCTGCGGCAGGCTGTCAAGAACTGGTCCATTTCCAAAAGGCCAGTGCTTTCAAACCAAGTAAAATAGAACTTGAATGTAGCTGCTGCTAACTCTGTGGTGGTGATGGGGGGGCACGTTGGGCGTAGGAGCTTGGCAACCGGAGACCTTGGACGTGGGAGTATTGTGGAAGGGAGGCACGAGGGTGTGAAGGGGTCAGGCAGGGGAGTCCTTGAACTTGGAGAGATCCTCAAGCTTATGGGTGCTGGGAAAGAAAAGACCAGATTTCATGGTTTAAGCTACCCAGGAGTGGAGCCAGGGTGCGTCACTACATCCTCTTTTGCTGCCCAACCTCCAGCTCCTTGATTTACAGCATCACAGATTTCCCAGTGTCGGAGTGCTTTTAACTGGGACTCGAGAGCTCAAAGCTGCAAAGAACTGGGTTGCAATTGGCTAGTCCGTGACTCAGATCGGAAGTACAACTGGCTGAGGCTCTGGGCCTCGGGAAACATCCCCTCACGGGATTGGCCGGAGTTGCCAAAGGGCCCGCCTCCCGCACGCTAAGGACTCGATCGGGTTGAGAAAGGGGTGCTGGGGTCCTGAGGCCGAGCGCTTTGGGGAACATGGCGGCGGACCTCGCTCAGATTCCTGATGTGGACATCGACTCTGATGGAGTCTTCAAGTACGTGCTGATTCGAGTCCACTTAGCACCGCCCTCCGGGGATCCGACGACGGAGTGCAAGGAAATCGTGCGTGGCTACAAATGGGCTGAGTACCATGGTGAGGGCGGGGCCTCTGCGGCTGTGGGGTGGAACGAAGGTTGGGGGCGGGGCCTGAATCTAGCAGTTGCTTGTGGTGGGGCTGTGAATGCTAATATACTATGCCTTGTACTAACACTTAGCCAGGCTGACCTAGAAAAGTCAGCCTGGGGTTCTGGGCAGAAAGGAGTGCGAGACCGGACCCTTTTTAGTCCCCTTTCCCACTTCGAAAGTACCTTCTTACGTTCATCCTTGTGACTGCGGGGGAGGGGCTCATCCCCACTGGGAAAAAGACCACCAAGACCTGGCGCTTCAGACCCCCATATCCAGCCCTAGAATCCATTATGGGGCCAACAAGGGCGACTAGGTCATATCCTGAGGCCATTCTCCCCACCCCAGCGGATATCTATGACAAAGTGTCAGGCGAGCTGCAAAAGAATGGCTATGACTGTGAGTGCCTAGGCGGTGGACGCATCTCCCATCAGAGCCAGAACAGGAAGATACACGTGTATGGCTACTCTATGGTGAGCTCCAGGCCCCAGGCCAGACTGCAAAACTCACCCTTGTGAGCCTGAACCCCTGACCTGCCCACTCAGATCACCTCTGGGACTGTCAAAGTTGAAGCTACAGAGAGCCCTTAAAGGACGTGGCTTTCCTTTCCTCACATTTCCCATGTGACACCAGGGTGGTTGGAAGCCATCTCCCATGGGCTGCACTCCCTCCTTACCCTAGATCCTTATGGGTCTGTGTCCTGGCTTTTTGGGTGCCCTTGGGGCAGTCATACTCACAGCCCTGACCACCTCCATCCCTTTTCATAAAGACCACCCAGGCATCACCTATCCAGCCCTTCGGTCCCCATCCTTTTCCCAGAGTGATTAGGATGGTAGGGTTTGGTTACTTTTCCCATGCCTGCTATTGCTGTGGCTGCTGGGTGGACTCACAAAGCAAAAGACCAGGCAGACTAGTGGCCATCTTCTCTCTAGGGTTATGGTCGTGCCCAGCACTCTGTTTCAACTGAGAAGATCAAAGCCATGTATCCTGATTATGAGGTCACCTGGGCTGACGATGGCTACTGAGGCCCTACCCCTCAGCAACTAAGTTAGGACTCTGCTCTTGCTGCGTTATCTCTTGAGGGGCTGACCCTGTGCTCTCCTTTCGTACTTTGGGCAACATGCCACCTGCCAGGCCTTAGAAGCCCAGACCAATCTGGTCCATAGGAATTAAAAGCATTGATATGCCTGCTGGTCCCTGACTTGTGTCTTGGATTTGCTACCTTTGGGTTGCTACAGGATATACCTACTCAGCTTCAGGAGGCCTTGGGGACTATTGGTGCATACTCAGCCCTTTGGGTTCAGATAAGGAGCCCCTGAGTTACTGTTATTTATGGCCTGATTGCTCCTCCATGAAGCTATCCCCAAGGACATCTGGGAAGAGGCCCCACAAGGCCTTGCACAAGAAGTCAGTTCCTGACCACACAAGACCTGGGGTCCAGGAATCCCAGCAGGAAAGGGTCCTGGCAGCCACTGTCCTGGCTAGCTGACAGGTTGCGTTGTTCATCTGTTCTCAATCCAAGCCTGATATCCCTGAGTGGTCAGCCAACAGGGAAGGTTCATAATGTTACCCACAACCCTTAGGACCCTGGAGCTGCACACTAACTGCTTGTGTCTCGTTCACTCAGGATTTCTGATCTTGTGTGTGTCTTAGTCCCTGGACCATTCATACCCCCTGAGTCTGTCTCTGTACCAACTCTACCTCACTGTATGGGACAGTGGGTAGGGACAAGCTTAACCCCTGCTCTTAGAAGTCCCATGCACAGTGTGCCACTATAGTGGGTACTGGGGAAAGCCAGACATCTCTGGGGCATCCTTTACCATACTCGAGCCAGCCTTTGTCAGCTCATGACATTCCTGTAGACTGCAAGCAGACACTACTGAGATACCCTTTTATAGGCCAGCAGACAGGCTCAGGTGAGATACCCCCCCCCAGGTCATACTAAGATAAGTCATAGGCAGAGCCTAACTCCATGTGACAAGCTCTTCAAAACTCTGACATTCCTCCTGCCTCATTGTGGGAAAATGAACTTGTGTGTTCATTAAGACTTTCCTATTATGGACCAACCAGCACATGGCTGCTCAGGACAGCTTTTAAAGGTGAATAGAAGGCTAAAGATGGAGCTCAGTTGGTTGGAGTGCTTGCCTAGTATACAAGAAATTCCCATGTTTGGTCTGGAGTATGGCATAAACTAAGTGTGGCAAAAACACCTATAATCCCAGCACTTGACAGGTGGATGCAAGAGGATCAGATGTTATCCCCAGCTATATATTCCACACACACACACACCCACCCACACACACACACACACACACTGTGAGAAGTATGCAGCTTGAGTTGCAGATGGTGTGAAAGAGAGAATACCACATCCTGATATGGGACTTTTTCTGGTTCACAGAGGTAGGCTGTTGATACTGGACTTGCCCTGACCTGATGCCCTAAGCACAGAGCAAAGGAAGCTTGTGAACATATACTGGATGGCCACGTGTAACCACTGAGTAGACTGCCCTGATGTCATTAGCCTGCACCAGGGTAGGAATGTAGGCCCAATTAGAGAAGCTTAGAGCTTGCAAGTAGGGTCCCCAGCCTTTCTACATTCCAATAGAAACTTCTAGTGGGCAGGGCAGGGCAGGGCAGGGTGAATGCACGGGATGGCCAGCACTTGACCTTTGGTTCGAAAGAGCCAAGCAGGGGCCCCCTTCTAGAGATACTTTTACAGCTGGATGCTCGGCCTGTCATCATTGGATGGGACCCAGCCAAGGGGCTGCAGGTATAAAGGGGCTGAGCCCTTTCCAGTGAGAGCTAAGTCAGCCTGTGAGGCCACTGTGGGCTGATAACCGAGTAAAGTCTCCTCCAGGCTACGTAGCCTCACTACCACTGGGACATCCTCCCCTCCAGCCTGTCCATGTACCTGCCTAGCCACCTCCTGTCAACCTTGGTACTACTTATGGGTGAGTAAACTGCTGCCTGGATGCTAGCTGGAGTTAGGACAGACACAGGAACTTGTCAGAAGTGGGTTGTCTACAGTGGGGGCATCCAGGACAAGCCAACAAGGCTGGGCATTGCCCACCTGAATCTTACCTCCCTGTCCTAGAGGACAGGCCACGGGACATCATAGGTGACCCTCTACCCAGCTCACTGAGCCTTCGTCTGCCACTTTCCCATTATGGAACATGTGCTAGTCCCTTGGCCATCCTCAGTGTGTCTTCTTATTGGGGGAGGGAGGACCCTACTAGAAGCCCTTCCAATTCCTAGTCCCCAGGTTTCCTGTGCCTTCCATATGGGGTGTTTCTTGTCAAGAGCCCTTTCCCCTTCATGTGGGGCTAGGAAGGTGGGAAGGCATTTTGTTTGCTTTTGATGTACAGCCACAGTGGCAGGTCCCTCTTCTATATGATCTCATAGGGCTGAGCCCTGAAGTTAGGAGTACCTTGGCCTGCTCAGATCTGGGGTTTCTCTGGACATAGAGTTTATACTGCTCAAAACAGCCAGTCATGGCTGGCCAGATGGCTCAGAAGGTAAAGGCATTTGCTATCCTGATGGCATTTGTTCAATCGCTGGGCCCCAGGTGGTGGAAGGAAGATAAGTGACTCCCACCCCAGTTGTCCTGACCTCCTCCACACGTGTTGCACAGCATATATGTATATATGAGCGTGTGAGTGTGTGTGTGTGTGTGTGTGTGTGTGTGTGTGTGTGTGTTTAAAAAGTAAAAGCAGCCATCACCTTGCCCTCCACTCACTTGGCTATTCTCTGCCAGCTGCACAGTCCCTAGGCAAGACCTGGGTCCCCAGCCACTGTAGAAGTCCCATCGAAGCTGTATGCAATTTTGTGTGTGACTGCGGAGACTGTTCAGATGAAGCCCAGTGTGGTGAGCTGGTCAGGTGGGAGTGGCAGGGAATGGCAGTGTAAAGGCGGACCCCTGACCGCTCATTCTCATAGGTTTCCATGGTGCCTTAACCACCCTGAGCACCCCTTTCACCTGCAACTTCGAGCAGGACCCCTGTGGCTGGCAGGACATCAGCACCTCAGGCTATAGATGGCTTCGAGACCGGGCAGGGGCGGTGCTGGATAGTCCTGGGCCTCGTTCTGACCACACACATGGCACTGACTTGGGTAAGGCCTAGGGAATCCATATGCATGCACCCTCCTGGCTTGATTTCTTGTCTGACCTCCTACCCTTTCACCCTTGGCCAGGCTGGTACATGGCTGTGGGAACCCACCATGGGAAGGAGGCATCCACCGCAACTCTGCGCTCCCCTGTCATGCGGGAGGCAGCCCCTACCTGTGAACTGAGGCTCTGGTACCACACAGCCTCTAGAGGTATGTGCCATGGATCCCTGGGGTTCAAGGCCAAGTGGCTCTGGGAAAGGGATGGTGACAGAAACAGGACACTCCCTAAAGAAGGCCAGTGTGCAGCTGGCAGACTGGAGGGAGGCATCAAGACCACTCAAAATACTACAGATATCGCTGAGCTGCGGCTGGAGCTGACCCATGGTGTAGAGACACTGACCCTGTGGCAGAGCTCAGGACCCTGGGGTCCTGGCTGGCAGGAGCTGGTAGTGAACACTGGCCGCGTCCAGGGTGATTTCAAAGTAAGTTGGGTGGTTTTCCAGGCTGGAGACAATGGGGAGGGTCTGGGCACTCACCCAGGTCCTAAGGACCCTTCCTCTTTTCAGGTGACATTTTCTGCCACCCGAAATGCCACACACAGGGGTGCTGTGGCCTTGGATGATGTGGAATTCCGGGACTGTGGGCTGCCTAGTAAGTCTTCACGTCACCTGTCACCCTGTCCAAAGCTGGGAGACCCTTACTGCCTACCTCCCTGAGTCTTCAGCCTTCCCCCAGGATACCTCCATCCTGAATCCTGGGGCCAAAGTCAATGTTAACTATATTCTACCCCAGCCCCTCAGGCCAGCTGCCCCCTGGGGCACCATCACTGCCAGAACAAGGTTTGTGTGGAATCCCATCAGCTGTGTGACGGTGAAGACAACTGTGGGGACAGATCTGATGAAGACCCACTGATCTGCAGTAAGGCTGGGACCATCTAGGGCCAGAAAGGGTGAGGGATTACAGAGTGAGACTGGGAGGCTAGGCCTTGATTTCTGGGTCCTTCAGAGAACACTGGGACTAGTCCAGGAAGGTGGCCATTGGCATAGCCATTCTGGGTGGGACAGCCAGTGTTTCTCTGGAACCAGGGCCATCTCACTACAGAAAGCCGTGCCCAGTGGCACTGGTAACCCCTCAATCCTACTCCTTAGGCCACCACATGGCCACTGACTTTGAGACAGGCCTGGGACCATGGAACCAGTTGGAGGGCTGGACCCGGAACTACAGTGCTGGCAGCATGGTGACCCCTGCCTGGCCCCACCGAGATCACAGCCGAAATAGTGCATATGGTGAGGTCTCTGAGGAACTCTGGCCATGGCCCTTTCCCCCCCTCTATTTCCCAATGAGCCTGACCCACATTTGCCCTCTCTCACAGGCTTCTTCCTCATCTCTGTGGCCAAGCCTGGCACCACTGCTGTCCTCTTCAGCCCTGAGTTTCAAGCCTCCATCTCCGACAACTGTTCGGTAAGATGGGTGTGAGACAGTAAGACAGTAAGTCACGCAGCGTTGCCCTTCCTGGTTGTCTAGTTGCCAGAGGCCCCTGACAGCCTGAGACACCTTCTCTTTCAGTTCACCTTCTATTATTACCTGCACGGGTCTGAGGCCAGCCGCTTCCAGCTGTTCCTGCAGGCACAGGGGCTCAACACCCCCCAGGAACCTGTCCTGCTGCGGAGCCACCATGGAGAGCTGGGGACAGCCTGGGTCAGAGACCGGGTTGACATTCAGAGTGTCCATCCATTTCGGGTGAGGCTGGCCAGGCAGTGACTGGGGACCAGGGAACCCTGCCTAGAACATGCACAGATCATGGGGGGCTTTGCAGTCACTCTTAAGAGTGTAGCAATTTATGAAGCGCAGCAGTGAAAAGGGGGTGGGGGGTATCATAAAGAAAAAAGGACAGAATAATGCTTGGCTCTCCCTGAGCGCTCCCCGTCTTCAGATCCTTCTAGCAGGGAAGACTGGTCCAGGAGGCATCATGGGTCTGGATGATCTCATCATGTCCAACTCCTGCAGACTTGTTCCAGGTGATCTGCCCAGGGCCCTCCCCTGGCCTGCCCAGGAAAAGCAAGGCCATTATCCACTCTGACTTGACTTCAGTTCTGCTCCAGATATGTCCACTCTGCAATCATCACGTTCTGGGCCAGAGGCATTAGCCCTCAGTCCCCAGACATTCATCAAGCTGCCCCAGGAAGCCTGCAAGCCAGGACATCTCTCCTGTGGAGAACTGTGTGTGCCTCCCGAGCAGCTGTGTGACTTCCAGCAACAGTGTGCAGAGGGCGAGGATGAACAGAAGTGTGGTGAGGCCAGTCAGAGCCTGGGTTCCATGTGTGTAGGGGGCCCAGGCAGGCCAGAGTCCTGGGCTTTGCTGCCTTCCCGAGCAGGCTACTGTTGTTATAGGCACCACAGACTTTGAGTCCACCTCTGCTGGGGGCTGGGAGGACATCAGTGTAGGAAAGCTGCAGTGGCAACGGCTTGGAGCCCAGAACGGGAAACCTGCCAAGGATGCTCATCAGGATATTCCTGGTGAGACCACTTCCCTACAGGAGCCCCTCCTCAGACAGTCTGTAAATTAGGGATACCAGAGCAGTAAGGGGGTACCTTACTCTTCCCATAGGGCACTTCCTGTCTCTGCAGAAGGCCTGGGGTCAGCTAAGATCTGAGGCCCGGGCTCTCACACCTGCCCTGGGCCCTTCTGGCCCTCGCTGTGAACTCCACATGGCTTACTATTTTCACAGTCATCCCCAAGGTACTATATGTCTCCTGGCCCCAGGCCCAATCCCCAGGGGCCCCCTGCATGGTGGACAAGATCTGAGGACCCACCCATACAAACTCCCTTGGTCAGGCTTCTTGGCACTGGTTGTGGTAGAGAATGGCTTCCGGGAGCTGGTGTGGCAGGCCCCAAGCAGCAGCAGCGGGGGCTGGACAGTGGAGAAGGTTCTTCTTGGGGCACGCCACCGGCCATTCCAGGTGAGGACAGCAGTCCAAGATGGGGAATCTGTAGTGAGCCAGCCCCTAACTGACAGTCTTTTCCTCTGTCTGCTTAAAGCTGGAGTTTGTCGGTCTGGTGGACCTGGATGGCCCTGGCCAGCAGAGGGCCGAGGTGGATAATGTGACTATGAGAGACTGCAACCCCACAGTGACCACTGAGAGTGACCAAGGTTTCTCCTGTGTACCTCCCATCCCCACCCAGGGACTGCTACCCAGTCCACTGCTAATCCTTATTACAGCTGGGAAGGGGGGAAGGGGTAGTGCACACCCCAGCCAACTCCACCCCACCCCCCAGAGGTCTCCTGTAACTTTGAACGGGACTCATGCAGCTGGCACACAGTCCACCTCACAGATGCCCACTGGCACCGTGTAAAAGGCCATGGCTCTGAATATGACCACACCACTGGCCAAGGTAGAGAAATTCCCAAACCTATGGCCTGAGACCTGGGAGGGGAGTGCAAACTGGGAGAGCAATTCTGTGGCTTGGGTTTTCATCCCCTGTAGGCTTTTTCATGTTTCTGGATCCCACGGACCCACCTGCTCGAGGACAAGCTGCTGTCTTGCTCACAAGACCCCAGGTGCCGCTTGTCCCCAAGGAATGTCTCAGCTTCTGGTACCACCTATACGGGCCCCAGATTGGTGAGAGCCTCAGCTGTTAGAACCTCTGGGTGTATCTGGTACCCACTGCAGCCGGAGGCACCAAGAGCTGGGGGCTGTTCCCCTGCAAGCTCCACTCCTCTTCAGGGACACTGCACCTGGCTATGAGGAAGGATGGGGAAGAAGACACACTACTGTGGTCCAGGTCCGGTACCCATGGCAACCACTGGCACCAGGCTTGGGTCACTCTTCACCACCAGCTAGAGGTCAACACCAAGTACCAGGTGAGGGTGAGCTTGGCACTTGGTAGATGGTGTAGGGTTGGCCCCAGCCAATTACCACTCTCCACCCTCAGCTGCTGTTTGAAGGCCTCCGGAATGGGTACCATGGCACAATGGCCCTGGATGATGTGGCTGTACGGCCTGGCCCCTGCTGGGCCCCCAGGAGCTGTTCCTTTGAAGACTCTGATTGCGGCTTCTCTCCGGGGGGCTTGGGGCTGTGGAAGCGCCAGGGTAATGCCTCAGGCTATGTTCCTTGGGGTCCTTGGACAGACCATACCACAGAAACGGCCCAAGGTACTGGTCTGGCTGGGGTGGGGGTACAGAGGGCTGGCTAGGGGAAGGCAAGCTAACGCTGGTCACCCTTCTCCTAGGGCACTACATGGTGGTAGACACCAGCCCAAATGTACTGCCCAAGGGCCAAGTGGCCTCTCTGACCTCAGAGGAGCACCAGCCCCTGACCCAGCCAGCCTGCCTGACCTTCTGGTACCATCTAAGCCTCCATAACCCAGGTAAGGGGCTATAGGAAAGGGAAGGGCACCTGTCCATGTCTGGGGTCAGCTAACCAGGACAGCTAACCTGGTTGGTTCTTGGTGGGTAGGCACCCTAAGAGTCCACGTGGAAGAGAGCACAAGGCGCCAAGAACTCAGCATCAGTGCCCATGGTGGATTTACCTGGCGTCTGGGCAGTGTGAATGTGCAGGCTACGCAGGCCTGGAGGGTAAATGCCTGGGTGGGAAGAGGAAAGCCTTCTTCTCATCTTCAAGAGCTGCCAGGACCAGCCTGCATGATCTGTGGCTCTGCACTCTGCAGGTCGTGTTTGAGGCTGTGGCTGCTGGTGTGGAGCATTCCTACATGGCTCTAGATGACCTTCTCCTCCGAGACGGGCCCTGTGCTCAGCCAGGTAAGCAGCTTGCTGTGGCCTGAGTTGTACCTTATCTATACCAGAGACAACTTCCTGGCTTTTGCCCCACCTGGCCCTGCCCAGAAGTGGTGGTGCTTAATGGGGGCAGCTCTGCTCACCTGCTGTTCCTTGCAGGGTCCTGTGACTTTGAATCTGGCCTGTGTGGGTGGAGCCACCTGGCCTGGCCCAGCCTAGGTGGGTACAGCTGGGACTGGAGCAGTGGAGCCACCCCATCCCGCTACCCCAGACCTACAGTGGACCACACCCTGGGCACAGAGGCAGGTACGCACTGGCTTAAGTGGGGCCTGGACTGATACCACCTCACACAACTGGGCTGTACTCACCCAGCTTCCCTCAAGTTAGAGACAAACATGTCAAAGGAGCCAACACATCCCACCCTCTCATTTACAGGCCACTTTGCTTTCTTTGAAACCAGCGTGCTAGGTCCTGGGGGCCAAGCAGCCTGGCTGCGCAGTGAGCCACTGCCAGCAACTACAGCCTCATGCCTCCACTTCTGGTACTACATGGGCTTTCCTGAGCATTTCTGTAAGTGGCTGGGCCCTGGGTGTGTGTGGGGGAAGGGGACTCAGGTTAGGCACAAAGGTATTCTCCAGGAACCTAAGCTGACTTGCCCTGGCCCCTGCTCTCAGACAAGGGCAAATTGAGAGTGCTCCTGAGCAGTGCCCAAGGCCAACTAGCTGTGTGGGAGCAGGGCAGTCACTTGCGGCACCAGTGGATACAAGTCCAGATCAAAGTGTCCAACTCTGAGGAGTTCCAGGTAAGGTCCCAGGGAAGCTGTCCTTCCTTCCCTCTCTTCCATGCCTCTAGATACTCACAGCCTTTCCCTTCCCTTCCCTTCCCTATCAGATTGTTTTTGAAGCCACTCTGGGTCAGATACTCACAGCCTTTCCCTTCCCTTCCCTTCCCTTCCCTATCAGATTGTTTTTGAAGCCACTCTGGGTGGCCAGCCAGCTCTGGGGCCCATTGCCCTCGATGATGTGCAATACTTGGCAGGGCAGCACTGCCAGAAACCTCCGTCTAGCCAGGGTAAGCACTGGGCTCCAGGATGGCCAGACTTGTCCTGAACCTACCAAGCTGAGGTTGGTGACTCAGATGGCTGCAAGTACTCAGCCCAGGTCAGGGAACCAGCTGGACCAGGAATGGGTTCTATACCTCATAGAACACTACCCACATGTGGTGGGCTGTACATAGAGGTTTCATCCGCTTTCACTGTCTCCTTCTGGGCAAGAACTGCCTTGAAGGAGCTGCCAGGTTAAGCTGGACCACAATGGGACCTGTGTTTGGCAGTCACTAGATGCCATCATGCTGCAAGTGGTGGAGCAGGTCTGCAGCACTGTGCTGACAGATCAACAAGGGCAAACCTTGGAGCCAACAAGGATTGGAGGGGCTCCTTCCTTGCCAGTAGTCCTGGAAGCAGAACCTTAACACAAGGATTGGGAGCTATGTGGAGGGCTCAGGTGTCCTCTGTGCCCTCAGGTGAAATGGCAGCACCTGTGTCTGTGCCGGTTGCTGTTGGAGGGGCCCTCCTCTTCTTCGTGTTCCTGGTGCTCCTGGGCCTTGGGAGTTGGCACTGGCTACAGAAGCAGCGCTGTCCCTTCCAGAGGAGTACAGATACAGCAACCTCTAGTTTTGACAACATCCTCTTCAATGCGGTAGGAACCACCAGATGTGGGCAAGTGGGAGATTCTGCCTCCATGCTTAAAGCAGTGGTGGGCCAGTACTCAGGAAGAGGCACCTTGCCTCACCCATCCAAGTCCAGGCAGCCTTTCAACAGCAGTTGTCCGGTATTCCTCCCTTTTTCCTAGGATCAAGTTACCCTCCCAGAATCCATCACCAGCAGCTCATAGACCAGACAAGGCCTGGCCCCTATGCCAGCTCCCACAGCATTCAGCATTCAGCCCTCAGATACCTGACCTACATCTGGGCCTGGACATAGGGATTGGGTCTTGCTTAGCTTCTATAGCTCTTCCTCCATCTGGTTGACCCTGCCCTGTGGTGTGATTAAAGGGTCCTTGCACTGTGAATAAATGTTCTACACCAGTGAGACCAACCCAGGCTCTTGGTCTGCACTTCATATATGCTGTACCGGGCAGGATATATCATAGCCAGCAGGTGGGTGGCCCTCCAGGGTTCAAGACCTAACCTGATTCAGAATTCAGGGAGCAGATATGGAAACCCCTCATTGCCTTTGGTGCGGCTCAGAAATTACAGGACCTCATCTTGGCCAGCAAAGTGATTCTGTACCCAATGAGGATAGAATCCCCCTCAGATGCAGGAAAACTGGGGTTATAAAAGCAACTATACATGAGATCATGAAACTGGTCTGGTGAGGAGAAATGCCACCACCTCAGATAAAGGCTTGAACAACCCTAGGACTGCAGGTCACTGGGCATGCCCATCTCACTTCACAGCAGGACACCTGAGGGCAAGCTGCACTTTAGCCTTTGGACTAAAGGACTCAAGTGGGAACGGATCTGGGGCTGCAACCCTGATCCTAATGAAGTGATGGGGACACATCTATGCCAGGGATGGCTTCTGAAGCCCTGACCATCCACATAATGCTTCCGCTGTGGCTTCACTGAGCACTGAGGGCTCTCCTCGGCGTGCTTATCCACATGCTTCCGCTGTGGCTTCACTGAGCACTGAGGGCTCTCCTCGGCGTGCTCCCTTCCTACCCGAGGAAACCTATCCTCACCATAGATACCATATGTTCCAAGCTAGGCTCCTGCCTGTCCAAAACTCAGCTCCATGGGAAAGAGGTGATGGCACATGGCCAGGTACTACCTTGAATCTTTGGGTATCACACAGCTGACTGATGCCCACTTCTCTGAGCAGACAGGGAAAGAACTCTCAAATTCCTCACTCAGCTCCCTGTGAGGTATCGATCATGAAGGAAGCCAGTTTTCATCCCAACAACTGTCATCTACAGTGAAGAAAGAAGTGGAGCCTGCAGAGACTGCTAGGCCCCGCTTCTCTCTAGCAGAACACAGGCTCCAAGAAAATATCACCTCTTTCCAGGCACTACATCCCAGGGAGTTCTTCTAACTCCACAGACCTGAACTCCCCACTGCAGCCAGCTGTCCATGGGACAGAAGGTGCAGGTTCGCACCCCTGCTGAGGTCAGAAGGCAGGGAGGAAAAGGCCAAGAGGCTATCACTTTGCAAGGTTTTGCTTTGTTTGACAGCAGGTATGGGTTGAGGGGGCACACAGGCCTGACCCCCATGTTCCGTTTGACCATGTGAGGAGACCCACGGCAGTGCTGGTGGTCCTGGGGGACCAGCCAGAAGAGCTCAGCCGGAACCACTGGCTTCGAGGCTTTGTGTTCATTTCGCCTTCGGCCCCTTCTCGATAGGCTTCCCGATGTCCTTCCCCCGGAGCTTGAGGCCTGAAACGAGCCAGCAAGATGCTGACCACTCTGCAGCTTCCTGCACCTACCCAACCTCCCTGCTCCACTCAGCTTTCCATCATTATTGTCTACTCACATCACAAGGCCTCCACACAGAGGGCTGCTGTCACATCTGACATTAGTGTGGGCCAGGCATTTCAGAAAGTACTGAGGACCAGGCTGGCCATGGTGGCTCACTCCAGCAATCCCAGAGCTCAGGAGACTGAGGTAGGAGGACTGATGTGAGTTTGAGGCCACCCCGAGCTACAGAGAGACTCTATATAAAAAAATAAAATCTAAGCCAGACGTGGTGGTGCACGCCTTTAATGCACATAGGAGGCAGAGGCAGGCAGATCTCTGTGAGTTCAAGGCCAGCCTTGTCTACATAGTGAGTTGCAGGACAGACAGAAAAAAACAAAATAATAAAATCTAAAAAGATGAGAAGGCAAACATCTTGGTACCTTGCCCCAGAAGAACTGGAACACTGCATTAGTCCTCCATGGAGGTGCACTGTAGAAGCACTGTGCCATGTAGGCACCTTGAGAACAATGTGTTCTGACTGGATGCTAACTATAGAAGGACCCAAGACACCATTTCCTTAGGGTTCTGGAGGCCCACCAATCCTCAAACCTTTAGGCAGGACTCTAGTAGTTTGGTCTCAAGAGGACAGGGGCCTGTCATCTTAGCCCTCGCCACCCCTTACAGAAGGGCAATGTCTTGTCCAAGACTGCCAGGGAAGACTCACCGATGGCTCTCTCAATTTTGCCCAAAACCTGGTTATTCGGAATGGCCCGTCCACTTTCATAGTCTGCGATGACTTGCGGCTTTTCATTGATTTTCTGAAGAAAAGATGCACCTTAGCCATACTAGCTCAGTAAAATGTGCTGCAGAAGCCAGGGGAGGTGCCCACAGACAGCCATCTTTGTTCAAGGTCCCTGGTACCCCCATACAGACAAGTCTTGTAGAAGAGAGAGCTACAGCTTCTCTGACTTGGCTTTTCAGGAGGATTTGAGGTTTGCTAGGGTAAGGTCCCAAAGCTACCATGCAGTAAGCCCTCCTTCCCTATACTGTCTAAGCACCTGTCGCCTGTCCCCACTCCACAGCTGCAAAAGCCTCACCGTGGCCAGGTCCTTCTGCGTTAGGCCCTTGCTCTGACGGCCCCGCTGAATCACTTTGCCCACCTCCAGGGTCACCCTGTCGTGATGCAGCTCCTCCGTCTCCCGGTCTAGCTTGGCTGTGTTCTTGGTGATGGAATGCTGCTTGTTCTGGCCAGCAGCCCCTGGAGACAATATAAGCAGAACAGAGCGGAGACAGCTTGCAGTCAGCACAGGGGAAAGGATGTCAGATGTAAAGCAGACTGACAGGGTCCCAGGCCCAGCTGACCTGGACTTCACAGACCTCAGAGCCCTGCATCTGAATCTTCCCACAGTAGTGAGAAGGTGGAAAGTTAACAGTCCCTGCTGATCTCACACCACCCAGAGCTGTACTAACAGGTCAAGAATATTTCCCAGCTGCCCAGTAGCCAACGGGTCCCTGCTCTTGACAGGACCCCAGGGACTACCCAACCATACCATTAGGCAAGCAATCCCATAACACATCCTTGCTTTGCAAGTGCAAACTTGAGTACCTACATTTCTTGGATGTCTCCACATCTTCTCCTCGTCTCTGAGCTGCTAAGATGGCCTAGAAAACCAAAAAGTGGTTTTCAATCAAAATGAGCTTTGGGGGAGTGTGGGGCACAATTTAGGCAGCTGTTTGCCAACCACATGCTGCTAACTGTTCTAAAAAACTGATACACAATGCTAGGAAAAACAACCCAAACTCACTACAAGAGTGTCTTCCACCCAAACTCTAGTTTTACTTTCCATGTTTTTGGTTTATCCACAGTCAACTTTAGTTCATAAACATTAAATTCCAGATAATAAACAATTCATACTTTTAAAATGTTGTATGTTCTGAAAAGTGTGATGGGGTTTCATACCATCACCATTGAGACACAAGCCATGTCCAGTTGTGTCCATGCTAAGCATTATACCTGTTTCTTACTCATCTACCTGACTACCTCTTTGGTTACCAAAACAGACTTCATGTTTAAGAAATCATGATATAGGAGCCTAATGCTACCGGACAATGGCTATGTGATTCATATCATTTCAGGAGAATCATTTAGCGAATGTATCATTTCACACCATCCCTAAAAGAAGGGTGAATGTAGGAACCTAGGAGAGAAATCACATTTGCACAGCTCTTATCACAGTGCACTGTTATAACGGGTTATTTCCAAACATTTGTTATGACTGGCTTTTTTTTTAGATGTGTTTATTTTTATTTACTTTAATGTATGAGTGTTTGCCTGCATATATGTCTATGTTCTGTATGCATACAGTGCCTTCAGAGACCAAAAGAGAGTGTTGGATCCCCTAGAACTGGATTTACTGACATGTAAACTCCCATGTTGATACTTGTACACAAACCTGAGTCCTCTACAAGAGCAGCCAACACTCTTAACCACCCTTAGCCATCTCTCCAACCCTTCTTACTATTTTCTACTGTGCCTAAGTTATAACTTTGTCATGATTATATATGAGTAGGAAAAAACACAGTACATCCAGGATCCAACACAACTCACTGTTTCAGGTACCCACTGAGTAGTCTCAGAATGTGTCCCCAAAGAAATGAGGGTACACTATACACAAACTCAGTACCCAAATATCCAGATAATGTGCATTAAACTGCTAAAAGAACCAACTCACTTCTACCCTAAGACAGGCGTTAACTGGGTGTGGTGGCACACGACTGTGATCCTAGCACTCAGGAGGCTCAGGCCAATGTCAGCTACAGGGCAAGACTTGCTTAGTATTAAATACACAAGATCCTGGATTTCAGTATCAGCACCACAATAAATGAGTTACATATATATGTGTGGGTGTGTATACATATTACATATACATATATACATACACACATAAAAGCTAAGAAGTTCTTTATTGAAAATAGAGCTATTTCTCTTCCAAACTCTGCATTAAAGCAGGAAGGAGTGGAATGCTAAGTATGGCTCCAAATGAGAGATGACACACCCTGCAGAACACTGTAGTCTCCCTGGAAACAGGACCACTAACAGTGATGCCTGGGTCACAGTCATTAACATAATGTTTAGTGGCTTGTGAGCCATTCTCTGTGTAGTATGTTCAGACTTTCTACATACTTGTGATGACTCCAAGTTCCTTTGAAAAGAAAAGGATTGTGGATTTGGCTTTGACTATGTAGCAAATAATCCCAAAGCTGGTCAGTACTTCTCAAGGCAGCACAGCACACACTAGGCCACAGGAGACCACCACTGCCTCAGACAGCACTCTATAGGCTGAGATCGCCTGGGCACCAAGCCACCGGTGATGCCAGCACAGGCTGATACCAGGAAAGGACAAAACCTTCAGCAAGAAGACTGCCCCTGCTCCCCAGCCCACATTTAGTGGCCAGCCAGATTCTCTGACCTACTCTTATACCTGTCCTCAACCCCGTTTCCATCTCCTTCTAGGTCCCCACCCAGGCCTGTCCCAGTCCAGAGCTCAGGTCACATCCCATCCCCCAACCCCTGACCCTTGCCCCAGCCTCGCCCAGGTCAGCTGCCCTCTGCCCCAGTCTTTTACCCTACTCCGTCCCCACCAGTTG